CTGCCGCATCCAAATTTACCATTGTTGGCTCCTTTCCATCTCTTAGCTGCCGGATTGCAATTTTACTGTGGAGGACAATGTCTATTGGTGCAGCGGAAGCAAGGACTTGGAGGGCGTGAGTAGGGGCTGTCCTATAAGCTTTAGTCGTTCTCAGGAGCGCTATTCTTTGACTCTGCTCGAGGATGTTTTTACTCCTGCTTTGCAATTTTGTTCCCCAAGCTGCTCCTCCGTACGTGGCAATGGGCAGGTATACGCTTTTGTAAGTGATAGAGAGCGCCCTTAGACTCATCATAAGATCATAACATGTAATATTGATACTTACGAAATATTCTAACGATAATGTTGATACAAAAGTTATACATTGCCAATTAATTATTCTTTTAATCTAAAGTTTTTGGCTGAGATGAAAAATTAGTGTCACGAACGGGATTCGAACCCACGACCTTCGGCCAATACGCGCTCTAACCACTTGAGCTATCGTCACTTCAAGTAGTTAGAGCAGCGGCGTATTGAGCCGAAGGTCGTGGGTTCGAATCCCGCTCGTGACATTAATTTTTCATCTCAGCCAAAAACCTTAAGATTAAGAGAATAATTAATATGAATAATTATGACCACAAAACAAATATGGGTTATACATATGTTTGAATACTTATTTATTAATAACTTCGGTAATTAACTTATTGCACCCAAGTTCCAACATAGTATCATAAAAAAAAGTTTAATTAGGATCCGTGATCCCACGACTTTGGCCTCCCTTGCTGGTCTTACACAATGTGTGTAAGAGGGTAATAAATTTAACGCCTTTGTTTACTGACCTTTGTTTCTCCGTAGGCTCCGAGAAATCCAATGGTCACCGACTCGTCAAAATTGTGATTGCCAGTTCCAGTCAAATATTGGTACAGCCTGTTGTAATTCGTCCATTTCGTATCCTTTACTGAAATAAATAATACACATATAAATTTTTTAAAAAAGTTGCGATTTTACGGGAAAAGAAAACAACACACATTTGGGCCAAACGGTTGTGCGACCAACTTGATATGAAACGATCAAGCTAAACATACATAAATCACCTTGCATCGGACATATCGAGGTTTTTCATCCTTTTTACACGCCCTAGGTTTTATCTAAGTTATAAGTTCCCTGTCTTGTGTCCCCCTGTCCGTCGGTCGAGTTATTTTTCCACGCATTTGCAAGTTATTGTATAATATACCTTTACCTTTGTACATATACCAGTTGGTTTAACTTTATTAGTTAGTTTATATGTTTTAAATAATTTATTTCTATCCTGTATATGAATGTACATATTACATTTGTAAATACACAATTTTTAATTTTTAGATGGTGTAATTATTAATGATCTCTGGTGTTTAACATTTTTATTTTTGGGCCGGTTTTGAATTGTTTTAAATTTTTTTAAGAGCTTATACAAATTATAATTAATTAAGGTTTTTAGTTGAAATAAAAAAGTCAATGACACGAGCGGGATTCGAACCCATCGTGACCTCGATCCACTCGGACTCCAATCCGATTACACGGCATTTGAAAAATGGCAAAAAGGAGGGAAAATTCAAAAGGTGCGGTTGAGATGGGAAGTAGTTCCGAGTGGATCGAGGTCACGATAGCTCAAGTGGTAGAGCAGCGGCGTATCAACCCGAAGATCGTGGGTTCGAATCCAGCTCGTGCCATTGACTTTTTATCTCAACTAAAAACCTTAATTAATTATAATATCGTATATTAATTGGTCAAGCAGACCACGGAATTAGTGAATTTAAGCTTATACAAATTTGTACAAATACTTCTATGAGAGAGATGGTTAAGGATATTGTTTATATATTTTTAATATATAATTATTTATGAGTGAGTTCATAAATAAAAAATCATGGATTTATGGGTTTCCACTTGAGAACCAGTTTGTGTGTTTGCGCGAAGTTCTCTTCAATATATATAAACCCTTTGTTTGACAAGTTATATATATATATAAAGTCTTTGCTTATTTTACCTCTTAAACAAATAACTCAGCATTATATTTACACATTATTATTTAACGTACTACCTTCTGTTTTATTTAATCTTGATATACGGACAAACAGACTTTTGATATTATTGAACTTGACATCAAAATGAATCAATTTAAACCAGCGTTGACAAATCAGCCACAGGTTTATTTTTCAAAGTTCAGAGAAATAAAAATATACATTCGATGTGGCAAGAGAATACTTTGAGGCTTATCTCTTTCTTGCATTACTATTCAAAAGAATGGAGGGATCTGGAATAATATTGAATGTAGTTTTACATTTCAATTCCCTTCCCTCTTTTACCAACGTTTGGAGTTATTTTTCAGTATTTCTGGGGGGATAATGTCTCATTTTCTACAAGCTGTTCGTCAGTGTGGTCTATAATAGCTGGCCAAAATATTTTTTCATCACGAGTATCATTTTCCATTCGAATGCAAATCGGTATGGACTGAATTCGAAACCAATCTATAACGAACTGTCAGAGCTTCGCACTTTTGAAAAAAATGGCGATTCTATTTTCAGTGTAAGACAATCGACTTTGCTATCATACGCGAATTTTTATTCTGATCTTGATTTATCTGTAAACACAAAAAATGCTGAAAGTTTCCTTCTTTCGTCCAAAGAAAATTCCATTGAAAGAAGGTAGATAATAAAATGTGCACAATAATTTTTAATAATTTTATTATTTAGTTTTCTATGTTTATATATATAAAAGTTCCATTCAAAATGCGTTTTAAAGAGATTGACTTCAGTTATTAGCAGCTTGTGTTACTCCATTACTCACATAAATTTAACATTCTTAACAAAGAAGTTTTCTGAAATTGCCCGAGGGTGTAATTAATACATTCGCAATATTTAGTCAATAATAAGTTATATAGAATATGATCGTGCTTGATGGGTTCACTTTGAGTGTTCGCCTAATAACTTAAGAAAATAAACAGTAAAAGTGAATATCCCATTGCAGAAATTGGCACGGTTATAATTTCAAATGTCAGCTTTTAATTGCCGTGCAGATTTTCGTGTTTTCGTTGGATGGGTTTTGAGGAATTAAGGTAAAACTTTTTAAACCCTGGTGGTTGACAGTTTAAACTGATTTTACGCTGGGATTTTCTACTACCTGACAACATAAACCAGTGATTACATGGCACTGGCCAATAATCCCTTCAAGTAAACTATAGCAGATAAGAATTTAAAGGGCTGATTCGAACATAAAGTGAGCTTTATTTTGCTCGTTCTTTTATTTGGTCTTATTTGGCTTGTGAAAAGCAAGTTCACAGGGATTCTATAATATACAGCTGGGAGTATATGTATCTTATTCACTTAAGACGCTTAAAGCCGTGCTGCAATGAAATGGGCTTATTGTTTGGAGTGGAAGGAATTGTGATAAAAACAAATTTTATTATTCAGGATAACACATGCCTTTGTAAAGCCAATTTCTTATTTTGGAGGGAACATTGGGAAACACGAATGGCCTATCGAGGGGCGTTCGACTAAGGTGTGTGGGTCCGGCCCCAAAAGGAAAAAAAAGTTTCAGGAAAAGTGATAACTACATGGCATAATTAAGGAAAAAACCTCATAACAACTGCCAGATAGTTACAGTTTTAAGAAAACACCACTTTCCACCATCCAGTGGAAGTTGGGCTTGGGCAGAGAAACAGGATCTCTAGACCATTTCTGTTCCATCCAGCAGTGACCATGTAAGTAACTTGATAATTTACTAACCAAAATGTCGAACAACTCTTCTCAACTAACCCCATATTTTATATACATTGACAGGCAAGAAATTCCACCCAATTGATTTGTTTGTTTTCATTTTCTCGATAAAAGAATATTCTGCCTTTAATTTGTCTCATTGTTTTTACCAATAAATATTTGTTTATGCTATGTTTTAAATTGGGAGTATCAATTTACAGACACACTTACTACTTAATCCAAAACAAGGATAAGGATTTTTCAATATTTACTTTTCAATTTTAAAATGTTTATTCAGTCCCATTGAATTCTGAAGCAATAAAGTGTTTAGTTTTCATCTTTGTTTTCTTAATATCAATTTTTAAAGTTAAAAATGCCACTTAGTGCTGAGGATGTTGCGCGTGGTTGACGTTGGTTTTGTGATGGACGTTCCAGTGCCATTCCTACGAAACTATGCGAGACACCGTTAGACGTTTTCGAGAAAATGGGTACTACCATAGAAGGCCCGGTTTTGGACAGCCTAGGATAACAAAACCAAAGGATGACCGTTTTTTGACTTTGAGAATTTTGGGAAACCGGCACCTTACTGTTGTTCAAGCGATTCATCAGCTTCAGGAAGTTCGAGGTCTCCAAATTTCTGCCCGAAGAAGATTAAATCAGTATGAACTGATGGCTTTTGGCCAGAGGACCAGAATTGACCAGAACATACAGAATAACGGCTATTGGTCTTTAGACAATTGGTCTGCTGTACTTTTTACAGATGAGTGCCGATTTTCTCTATGATTTCCAGATGGGCGTGAAAGAGTGTGGACAAGGCGAAATGAAAGGTACGAAGCCTGTTTTTTTCACAGAGCCGACCTTTTCAACGTAGCTCAGTGATGGTGTGGGCGGGAATTTCAATGGAGAGTCGCACAGAGTTGGTTGTTGTTTGTGGAGGGTCTTTGACGGCTACTCGCTATGTATGTTTGAACATCGTGCGTTTCCTAGCCCCGATGAAATCAGCGACAATCTTATTCAAATGCACGATAATGCCCGTCCACATGTTGCACGCATAATTCAAACGTACCTTCCACAGCATAACATCAGGGTCATAGCCTGCCCGTTCTCCAGACTTGAACCCCGTCGAACTTTTATAGGATAACCTCAAAAGGCGAAAAGAGCACGTCCATCACTTCCTGATACACTCTACGTGATCTTCAAAAGTCAAATGGACTAGCCTCCAGCAAAGAGACATTTCCAGACGGGTAGAAAGAATGCCGAGGCATCTTCGAGATGTAATTAAGGCAAGAGTAAGAAATACGCGATATTGAAATGTTAATTAAAAATCTAATTAAAACAAATTTTATCTGTCCGTCTTTTTTTGTAATTTTTCATTTTCCTTAGCAATTTACATTGTTTTAACTTTTTTAGACAAAAACTCAGTTATTAAACGTTAAAAAACGCGCAACTTTGATTAATATATAAAAAGTATATACAAATCAAGTTATATTACAAGTTGGTGGAATGTTTTGCCCGTCAGTGTATTTTGTAAGATCATTACTAAACAAACTATATTATTTTTTAATTTTTAATGCGTTACGTGTACTCAAACGTCAAACCTGCCCACCAGTGAACATTAAGAAAAAGATAAGTTCGCTACCTTGGGCTTTACTTAGATAGAAGACTTACATGGAACCCACATACAAGATTAAAACGGCAAGAACTTAACAAAAGATATGGTCTACTCAGACACCTACTGGGACCAAAATCAACGCTAAGTATGCATAACAAACTAACCGCTTTCAAAACACTCATCGGACCTATTTGAACCTACGGAGTAGAACCGGCCAAATCATACAATATCCAACGAATTCAATATTTTTAATCTGAAGTTCTCCGCTGTATTCACAATGCTCCCTTCTATGTCACCAATCAAACGATCCATCAAGATCTTACACTCCCTTTCGTGAAAGATCTTATCCGAACACGCATCTTCAATTTCCACTCTAAACTATCTCTCCACCCTAACCCAGTAGCCCTAACTCTTTCCTCGTCTCACCCTTATAATCAATACTTCACACCGTTTAAAACGACGATGGCCTCGTGATCTTCTATCTTGACCAACCCAATTAAATAAAAGTGAGTTCCAGCACTTGTTGGTTTCTCTCCTGGTCTGACAGATCTGTCAGATTTGTATATAACTAAACTATTTGCTCAATGTATATTTTTTTACAGATAGCAATAAATAAAATAAATTTAAAAAAATTAATAATCACCACACTCATCAATTCAACATTTTACTCTTATAAATTTGAGGGAGGCCCCTGGTATAATTATTGAATTATTTATTTTCCGAATGTATTTTCATTCTTTCTGTTCATTTTCTGGGGTCACTGATAGCTTTAGTCTATGTTTCTTCCATTGCGACCAAAAAGATATATTTGTGGAATGGATCCTTCTTTATTTCCAAACCCCGAAAAGTTCGTCTTCCTTAATTTCCCTAGGTGTTAGTGTCGCTTTTGTTGTCAATCTTTCAAGATGATGACGTTTTCTGAATAATGCTTTGCAATCACAAAGGATACATCCCTATGTTTCTACCTCTTCATGGCAAAGACGGCTGGTTTCTGTCTTTTTTTAAGGTAATAGTTGAATAAAGGCCTATTATTTTTCTTAATTTTTTCTTGCTGCTTAAAGAGAGAAAGAGAAGTAAAAAAGTAGATAGATAGTTAAAGAAAGAAAGAAAGAAAGAAAGAGAGAGAGAGAGAGAGAGAGAGAGAGAGACAGAGAGAGAGAGACAGACAGACAGACAGACAGAGGTTTTTGTTTTCCTGGTTGGAGAACTGAAGAACTTCTTTGATAGTTTTGCACCTGGTGAATGCATCCAGTGTGTGGTCATTTCTATCTCCATCCATTTGTTCAGGTCAGCTTCTGCTTTTAGAAGTTATCAGCATGTAAGTTCACATCCATTTTTTTTTTTAAATTTGTTTCATATGGATATATTTTGATATATTTCATTTTTCTCATTTTTCTTTTATTTTAATAAAATTATTACTGAAGGAATTATTTTTATTTATTTATTTTATATTAAAATATAGGCTGCTTACGGACTCATTTTTGTTTTTTCGTGAAATCTACCAGACGGCTTATAAGTTACCACCATTGGGTTTTATCATCTTCTAATGTATTTTCTATATTAACTTCTTTCTAAAATAAAATTGGCAAATATCGCCTACAATATGGGTTTCTGGTTTTGGCGAAGAGCGTTGAACCCTCCTCTTTTTTTTCCTATTCATTTTATGAAGGCTTGGATCATTCCGAACCAGATCACGTCCTTTCACGGTACTGACCCCCGATGGGGCGCATCTCGCCATCCTCACAACGATTTTCGGCCTGAAATTTTCATTCCGACTTAATTTCGTTCTCTAAACTCAGGTTGTTAAGATAAATGGGCCCTGAGGAAAATATTACGAGGGGTTTCCGCAGCGGCTCGTGATTGAAGCCGGGGTTGGGAAAGTTTCAAGGGCGAAAGGTGTAGCCATATTTCCTTCAGGGTCAATTTTATAATTTCCTTCGTCCTTTCTAACCAGTGTGAAATATTAAATATTTTAGAACGGAAAAATATTATTTTTCACAATCTAATTGCGCATTTTCTCCCCACCCCTCAAAAAACCCCAAAAAGAACCTGAATAGATAGACCAAGATCAGCGTGAATATGTACATTCGTATACGTATCATGTACATAACCATTATTTTTTAATTTACCATGTAAATATTAAATCACTAACTCGTTTTTGCAAACAATAGCAGATCTGGGTTTGAATCCCAGCTAAGCCCATGACGTTTTAATTATGTATGTTATGACTAATTTATTGTAATGCGTTTTGAGCCTTCGGCCGCGACACTCAATGTGTTATTACTGGTTTAATCCTTCCTTTATGACAGAAATTACTTGACTAACTAAACCACTGATGAAATAATTTATTAGAATTTATAACAGCAGAAGGCCGGAGTCAAAGGCCCAAATTTAGACTTAGCGAACCTCTACGCCCCACGCCATCTATTTTCAAGCTGAGGTCCATGCAATGGAACACAGTGTACAACAAATACATACAAAAAGAATTGAAATATACCCAGATTTTTAATATTGCCAACAGCAGCCTTTAAGTGTTAGCTTTTTCTTATAAAGTGCGGAATTAGACTAAATCGTTAATATATCCCATAACCGCTCTTTTTTAATTGCAAAAATGGGAATTAAATTATATCAAAAATGTTTGCCAAAAACAGACATTAATGAAAAAAGTGGAGGTAGTGAGTGGTCCTTCTTTCAGACATAACCATAACTTTATTTACCAATTGATTAAATGTAAAAAAATTAAATCTCCGAATCTTAAATCGATTATATGCCAAAGAAAAGAAGTTTCACATCTCTACGACTCTACTTTTTCGAGTTAAAGAAAACTGAAGAACAACTGTCGATAAACTTAGATGGAGGCACGCTGCCAACAAAGACAATCTTAAGGGTAGTGCATTTTTCTAGGTTTGGAAATATAGAATGTCGATTCCACAATAGATCTTTTAGGTCGAAGTGAAAAATTGTTCACCAGTGACCCCCCCCCAAAAAAAAAAAGACAAAACAGATATATAAAAGATGGTTTTATATTCGTTCGTTGACTTAAAATTGAATTAAAAGCTTTATTATATATGGTAGCTTTTATGTCAACGAACGAATATAAAAAGAATATATAATATAGTCAACACTGTTTTACNTAATATTTTTTAAAATATTATTTTTTTAATATATATATTTTTTTTACGAAGGTTCGCAACAGCAGAAGTTAAATCAAACCTTGGGTTGCCGGTGTTTTTGAAAAACAGCCCATTTGTAAGTATGTCGGGTTCGAATGCAGGGCCGCGGGATTCGAACCCGGGACCTTTACCATGCAATGATGGGCGCCGTGTCAACGCCCAAACCGTTGCGGCCACCGACGCCCCTAATAAAATATATTTCTCAAACACTCATTTTGAAATTTCTATACTCGTTATGCTATGAAACGGACAATGTTGACCAGCACAGATTAAAGGAAAAATTTGCAAATTTATTACGATGATAATCGTACAAGAATGTAATATTTACTGAATTTTTTAATATAAAACTAAAAAATATATAGTCAACTGCACTCCAACCAACTGATACAAGATATTGAGCCCATCAACTCCAAGAATTCAAATACTCGTGTATATTAATATTAAATAATTAATTATTGCAAGATATTGTTACCAAATTTATTAATAATCTGATTAAGTGAGGAACGCCCCTGGGCGTTTATTTTCACTACATCTTTCAAGTCATATTTTATATTTAGTACATGATCGATCACAAGTGTAAGGTTCATTAGCTCAACAATTTTTAAAAAGACGAAATAAATAAAATAAAAATATAACTTGCGAGAAATTAGGCTAATATTGAGGTCATAATTATTTGAAGATCGTGAGATGCGGCCTGGTGTGACGTAGGTTTTAGAAAAACATTTTCTTTATCGTGCCAACGTTTCGATCTTTATTGAGATCATCTTCAGGGCTCAAAGTGTTTGCTTTTTGCGAAATTGTGACATTCTTCTGTGTGGTGGTGAGAGTGCCCTAAACACCTCACATTAAGGTCATAGTTAATTGATGGACGTTTTTGATCTTCCACAGTGGTTTTTTTATTAGCCTAGACTATTACCCATCCCGCTCTTCGTGTGTCGAATATTTTAAATTGTCTCGAATAATTCTTGATCTATTGTTTATTAAAAAAATTAATTTGCTGGATGCTGTTGTTTTTCTAAAGTGCAATGTTATAGAACTTTACCCGCGACCGATGGTAATTCTTTCTTTATGCTAAATTAATTTTTAAACTTTTGTTAAGCTGTAAAATGACCAACTAAAGAAGAAATTGGCACAAAATGGCTCGCTCTTCACGTCGGAACTGTTAGTAAAAACCCTCTAAACTTCTTGTTGAGCTTTTTTAAACGTTGTAGCACCTTACAAAAGGGTAATTTGCTTTAAAGCATAGATTTTTTTTCATTCGATGATTCCAAAGAAAAAGGGGGTTCAGAATTTTTTTTTAAACAAATAAAATTGTATAGATAATACAAATAAGGCGTTATGTTCCTAATCTAACCCAAATATTCAAATTTGTTTTAAAAATTATTCTCTGTGAAATAAAACACATTTTTCTACTTTTAATTTGTTTGTTAACATGTGTTTTTTTATGTTGTACTTATGTATTGATATTTATCTTTGGTTGTACGATTGATTTAAACAATACATACAGTGTAGAACCGAATTGAAATTAAAAGAAACATTTATTTAACCTTTTTTAAACCATTTTTCATATTTAAAAGGAGACCCTTAAATCTCTGAGTTTGCAAATTAAGCATTTTCAGTTTGAACTTCTCGCTGATTTTCTTTTGATTGTAATTAAGGTCAAATATAATTGATCTTTATCGGCTTGGCGGGAGGTCCGGGTAGCCCATGTGTAACATAGTCCAGGCTTAAGAAATACTCCGAAGCACAAATGTCTATAAATATTTATTTCAGTTAAGCTCATACACAGAGGACACCATGTTGACCTCCTTTTTTCCCCCACCATAGTCGGTTCTATCGATATGTAAACAGTCATTGGATTGATTGACTGTCATTAGGTATTATGGAAGACAAATGAATCGGTCTAGGCATCGGATTAAGTTTACTTACATTGCTGGAAGCAAGTCGGATCTCGTGATATTGCCTGGGACAGCAGAAGAAGCACTAATAGAGGAGGTATCATCCTGTCACCCGCCTTCCGATCTCCTGTAATCCCATATTTACACAATTAACGTATTATTGAGTAGCAATGTCAGGATAAATGAGTGTTGCATATATATTAAAGTATTTTGAAAAATTATTAGTTCATTGAAAACTAACTTACTGTTTATTTTTGAAAATAGTGAAATTTTGTTTCAGATATTTTTTTACCGATAGGGCAAAAAAAACAACAAATTTTTTACAATAATAAGTTTCATGAAGGGCAAAGAATAAAGACATATTTTTGGCTTGTCAAATGGAACGATCAATAGTGGAATTGAAGTTAACTGAAATTAGACAGCATTTTCGTCTAACATAAACACAGAAAAGTAGGAAATATTCTCTAGTAAACAAATAAATTGATTTGCAATATAATTACAGTGCAGAGAGGCAACAAGAAGGCGTTAAAATTGGCCAAGGAAATTTCGATCAGGACATCCATCAGCCATAAACCCTTTCGTGGCATACCAAACTGTCAAAAACCTTAGATCCATCAGACAGAAAAGCCCCAGGGTGTTGTTTGGATCCAGTTTTATTCTCCATTCCTTACCTCCTACCCCTCATTTAACAATTAACAACCCCTATTTCCTTCTGTACAACCGTCGATTACATTGGGATTGTCCTTTTGACATGAAAGCCCCATATTTCCCACATTTCCCGACGCTGCTTTTCCACCTTCCACCAGTCCCGTTGTGCCAGCTTACTTTAGTCCGCGTAACCATTCCCAGTTTCCTCTGTTATTCTCACCCACTTTACGAAAATGTATACGAGGGACTCACTGAAAAGCTTGACGATAAGTCTAAATATTTAAGGAATTGTTTTATCTTCGATTCACCAAGGTCTCACGTAACAGTTCTGTACGCCGACTTAAAGTCTTTAAAAAGTCTTTTTTTTTTTAAGTCTAATACCCTTTCTATCGAAGGCTTCTTCCTTGGCTCCTTCCGTTAATTTGAAGTTTATAATGGATAATGTGTGGAGTTTAATGACCGTTAGTTAATGATTATTTGAAATTAAAAAAGTTAATTTGAAGTTAAAAAGATTAATTTGAATTTAAAAAAGGTTTATTTGAAGTTAAAAAGGGTTAATTTGGTGGACAAAAGCTATAGTTCTTTAAAATCATGACTTTCACAGTGTTTTACGTGTTTACGAACATTTGTGGAATATCGGTTAATTGAAAGAACATTTTGTTCAAACATAATAAAATTACATAAAGAAAATTAGCTACAAAACTATAAAGAAATTAAAATTATTTGCTGTTTACGTATCCTAAAAAAGCTTTAAGTGTCGTACTTCTTATACAAACTATTTCGGAAACAATATCGACAATATTTCAACAAGGTTTTGAAAATTTAAAAATGTTTGACGAACGTTTTGTCAAATTACTTTGTACAAGACGCTAAAAAAATTATAGGCACTGGTAATTTAATACAATAGTATTTTCTGTTGTAAATAAGAGGAAATGCATTATTTTTGCCTTGTTGAAATATGGTCAATGTTATTTCCGAAATAGTTCATACAAGACAGTTAAAACTTTTTAAGATAAATAAACAGCAAAGAATTTTAATTTCTTTATAGTTGTGTATCTAATTTTCTTTATTTTGTTTGAACAAAATGTTGTTTAATTTCAATTAACTGGTATTCCACGAATGTTCGTAAACACGTAAAAAACACTTTGTGAAAATTATGATTTTAAAGAACTATAGCTTTTGTCCGTCAAATTAACCCTTTTTAACTTCAAATTAACCTTTTTTAATTTTAAATTAACCATTTTTAACATCAAATTAACCTTTTTTAATTTCAAATTAACCCTTTTAAACTTCAAATTAACCTTTTTGATTTCATATTACACATTATAAATTTCAAGTTAACGGAAGGAGCCAAGAAAGTAATGCCTGCGAAAACTTTAAGTCAGTGTACAGAACAGTTATGTTAGACCTCCTTGAATTAGTCAAAGAAAAAACAATTCCTATTTGGACTTAGAAAACTAAAGGTTCCTTAATCTTTACACTTATCTTCAAGCTCTTCAGTGAGTCCCTATAAAAATAAGGCATTTCTTGTAATCTTATTTACAACGGAAAAGACTTTGTGTAAAATTGCCAGTGCAAATCATTTATTTAGGGTCTTGTATAAAGTATTTTGAGCCAAACATTTTAAGTTTTCAAAAGTGAAGTTACCATGCGATTAAAAATCACTCTTGTGTCGGTTTTAGAAAGGTGTCTCTTCGAAATCGGATATTTAGTAGTAATAATGCAATATTTAAAAACCAACGTGGAAAAGTATTTTTTAATTATTATTTATTTTTAAGAGCAACCAGTACAATTACCCTCTAAATCCGGTTTTTTCTCTTCTTTTAACCTATTCAATGAAACATTTGTTTGTTGATTACCATTCTATTTTTATTCTATGGAAGGAAACCGAAACATCTCTTCGAACATTACAAATCGACCGATATATTTTTCCCCGAAGCAACACATTTTGGCTTTTATAGAATTGGTCCGATCTCGTCGAGGTCGACCGTCCGAAATAATTGTTTATTTTGTTAGATTCACTTAATATTAATCTTCTTTTATATATCATTTCTGATCGGCTTATTCGAAGTTTTCTTTTTATCAAACCGTACTTCGTTAATACACTACTTACTTATTTAACTTTTATACAATATTATCGTTGATCTTTTTTTTTGTGTATACTACTTTTATGGGGGCGCGGATGAATGAACAAATCACCCTAGGGTTTTATTAGAGATTAAAGTTAAGGTATAATATTGATTTCAGCGATGTTGTTAAAGAAACTCGATACTGTTGTTAAACCTTCAAGGATATTTTGAAAAAGGATATGTTCCGTTCGCAAAAACAAAAATAAAATAGTTATCAATAGTCCTTTCTATTTGAAACATGGATAATTTTAAAGAAATTTATTCAAATGTGGGGAAAAATGTTCTTTACATTATTTACATGTAATCATATTTACATCTAATGCTTTTATCAAAGAAATGTTTAAGATGTTTCATTCTTTTTCCCCTTGCTCGAGAATAATTTTCAAAAATTTGTTTTGTAACTTTCACACATGGTGTTTTTGTGTTATACTCCTAATGTTTATTTTACGCGTCGTCGCTCTCGAAAACGAGGTTTTTCTTTGTAAATTTTAAGTTTTCTATTAAAAAAATAATAATTGGTAAATGTAATATTTCGTGAATATAAATCGCTCACCTTTTCCATAAAAGTGATGTGGTTTTCAAGGTGTTTGGAATGTGACTGGAGGCGGCAACAGGTTCAGCCGCCCCCCACTTGGCGCATTTTTGCGACCACCCCCACTGAACGGTCACCAAATATTTTCACCCGTTCAGAAACAGATTTACAGTCTTATTTTTCTCTTCTCTGTTTCTCTCTCAGTTCGTATCTCTGTCTGCTCTCTCTCTCCCTTTCTTTCTGCTTTCACTCTTCCTGTATCTCTCTACTCTCTCTCACTCTTTCTTTCTTTTTCTCTCTCTCTCTCACTCTAGCAACTATCTATCTATCTCTATCCCCATATTTCTCCTTTCCTCTCTACAACACGAATTATTACATAAAAGTATGTAAAAATATCAAATATTTCCAAAATAGTCTTAAAAATCACCTCTTATCAAGTAATGAATGATGCTAAACATTCGCTGTCTTAAATTTAACTCCTTTTGCCGTTGTTGTTTTTTTTTTTTATATGTTTTTATATTACTATTTAGTGACTAGAAGTTTTATTTTGATATTTATATTGACAATTTATAATTCATGATTTATACCGAATTGTATTGAAAAAGTATTTTTGTTCACTTATTTTATAAGTAATTTACTCTTTAATCACTCAATTATTCTGTAAATTAAAATATTTATTTCAATAGACAATTGGTATTAAATACAAAAGGAGGAGAAAACTATTACTACTAGTATTACTACAATTATATATTTTAACTTTATAGACGTGGCAGTTCTAGTTGTTATTATTATTATAACCAAAATAATAATAACTAGAACTGTCACGTCTATAAAGTTAAAATATATACTGTCTCTCTCACTCTCTCACTCTCTCTCTCTCTCTCTCTCTCTCTCTCTCTCTCTCCCTCTCTAAAAACGAGATAAAAAAATTGGTCACTATTTTCTACCATGTTTTGTTTTGGTCATTTACTTTTTCTATTGTATTTTTCTGAAATCCCAACAATTTTTTCTCTGATTACCATCTTATCGATGAATATAGAATTTATAGGAATATGGAAATATTATTTATCATTACAATGCATTCAGAGGAACAGAAAGTTTGACAAAATAAGTAATATTGAGTCAAGGCCACCGGTGCGACCAAATAGAATAAATAAAAAAACCCTAATAATGTTGAGGAGTGAGACGTGGGACGTGAGGGACTGTCAAAGACCCTTTTCGGCCTCGGGCTTTACTTTTCCCAACGGTAAAAATATCAAGTAACAACAATGCCTTGAAAAACGTGACAAACTTGGTTTAGACGGAAGATATAAAAATAATTTAAATATGTGTATATAAATAAGTTAATATGATTGTTATTTTGGTGTTATTATATGACGTAGATTGATGGGGCAGAGAAAGAGGGTCATTGGATCAGAGAGACGGATAACTCGGAGAATCGTTCATTGGATTGGCTTTTCTTCCGAACCTGTCATTGTGGAGATAAAAAAAGTTATCCGAGTCTTCATATTTCAAAACAACATCTATTACAATAACTGCTTAAAATTCACAAAGAAGGTATCTAAGCCGAAGCAGACACTCCTCCAAAGTAGAGCTCACTTCATAAATATCTAACAAAGGTCTAGCCATGCCGTCTTCATTTTTGTAACCAACAACCGTCCCATTCAAAATCCAACTTCTAAATCATCACTGGCCATTGAACAGTGTCACTAACCTCGCTCAGCTACCGAACACTCCGTTCTCGGTCGACCCTGACTGCCCAGCGAATACCATTTTGGTAGAACCGTCTATTTCAAACCTCCACAGAGAGGGGTAGGG